AGGCTCATTTTCTAGGAAGCTGGAGGAAGCTACACGTTATCATCTCGACAACTTGACATCTGCTCTTTCTTTTCGTCTCTCGCAACGCACGTTGTGAAATAAGTTGAAGGAAAGAGAGAGGAAAATATTTTATTTAAGAAAACATGCTTTTTTCTTCCTAGCCCGGCAACAAAGCTAGAGGTCTTAACTTAATACATATTTAAATTATTTCAAAATAAGCTCTGGCTCTCTTTGGGGGTGTTTCTATGATCTTGTTCCTTTTTTAAACCTCGTTGTAATAAAAAAAAACCTTGGGAAATCTTTATAGAAGTGGGCATCTCGAATTCTTATACACGGTACGTATTCCCCGCGCTAACTAAAGAGTGGTAGGTTTAAATATAAATCCGTTTTTCTCTTTCTCCCCGTTTCCTGGCATGTAGGTGTCGTGTGAACACACCGTCGTGCACGTCCGCGTGGATGTATCCGGCATCATGCACAGTAGGAGTGAACGTATGTGATTATCAAGGTGGGTGCCCGTCTCCCATACTTGCTTGGGAGGAAGCCCCATTGCATCCAGGGAGAGATTTCGGAGGAAACGGGACTAGGATTTGGTCATCAAGGAAGCCTTCCAGAAAGCAATGTCTGGACTTGTTTGTACCCAAGTGTCGCGGTTCTATGGTGGCATGTGTGACTCAGTCAGACGCGTGTCTGGCTAGCCGTGAACGAACTACTACATTTCGTGTTCCTTTTCTTTCCCGCTCCTTTGTATCCGAGGGCAGCAGAGCTAGACCGCTGACCCTCCTGCTGGCAGGCTGGGCCTCGGGGTGTAAGACTTGGCCCCGCTCTGCGCCCCGGCCTCTTCCTTTCCTGGGACGCCTGGAAAGGGAGAGCAGCTCCCGCTTCCCCAGAGCCCTCCTCCCTCTTTTCTACCCGCAGTCCCTGTTCGCCACCAGCGCACGAAGGAGAGAGAGAGAGAGAGAGAGGCGCGCGGACAGAAGGCGAGTCCCCGGACCGAGGGCTCACAGGGCCTCCTTGTCTTGCCAGGGAGCCGGAGAGTGTGGGAAACGTTTCCAAGCGCCGCGCCTGAGGCGGCCGAGGAGACGCGCCGAGGCCCCGCCCTCTCGCCTCTCCCGCCGGGGGCCCTGGCCGGGCCGGGATTCTCCCCCCCCATACACACACACAGAGACACACACGGAGAGACACAAACCGGGCCTTGCGCCTGCTTTTCTCTTGTTCCCCCCTGCCCTTTCCCGCCTTCACTCCCTCTCTCCTCCTCCTCCGTTTCTCCTGCCTCCTCCTTGCCTCCCTGCGCTTTGTTCTCCCCTTGGCCCTTCGAAAGTGGGCGCCACGCAAGGCGCCTGGGGGGGGCGAAGTGGGGAGGCTGGCTTGCTGCGCGCGGAGTTTCCCTCCCCTCCGCAGGCCTGTCGCGGCCTGCCAGCCTCCCGCCTTCTCCTGTTGTCTCCCTCCCTCCTTCCCTCATTCCCTCTCCTCCTTCTTCTTTGTTGGGTGCCCGCCTGTCAGGCCAGGCCTCGGTGGCCCGAAGAGAGGAGCCCGCGCGGCGGTGGCACCTGGGCTGTGGGGAGACCTTGGCCGCTCTCGCTTCAGCCGGAAACTCGCGGGAGGAAGGCCGCTTTTCACCTTGGTGGGACCCGCGAGGCAGGCCCCCAAGATGGTGCCCGTGGCGGGGCTTTGAAGGGAGCTTTCTGGCCGCTGCGGCCGCCACAACTGTTGCAAGCAGGGCGTGGGTTGGTAAGGAAGGGCGACGAAGGCCCCCCCCAGCCCCGTCCTTTTAGCCGCCGGACCTCCCCGCCCTCCTTTTTCGCGCCAAGGCCTGTCCTTGCGTGATTCCACGCAGTCCCTGCCTGGGGCGCGTTCGGCTTCAGGCCTCTTAATCACTCGGTTGGGCAGCGCAGTCCGCCTCGGCCTCCTTCTGCTCCTGCTCCCGCTCCCTTTGGACGGAGCAAGCGAGGGAACAAGCAGCGGGACGGTTCGCCCGCCCCCAGCACTTGGCACTGCTGCGAGGGAACAAGGAGAGCCACACATTCTGCCTCACCCAGAAAGGTCGCCCTGGGCTTGGCCCCCAGCCGGCTGCCAGGCGCCGGGGGCTGCCGTCTCGCTAGGCGCTGCCAAGAGGCCCTTCGGCCCTCGCCGTCTGCACGCCAGGCCCAAGCCAGGCCCTTCTCTCCGGGGCACTCAGGCCACCGTTGGGGTCTTAGCTAAATTGCAGCCATCCGAAGATGATGACCGAGGAAGGCAGGGGAATTTCTCTTCCTCTTCCTAGGAGCGTCTCTAGTTCAGGGACGGTCAGTTGCCACTTGTCCCGCTGGGGAAATAGGAATCAATTAATCTAAACATTGTTTTTGGGAAGGGGGAGGTAGGTCACAAGCTGCCTTGACAGATATGTGAACATCACATAAAACCGAAGAGTAATAGAGGACCGATTAGCTCAATACAACTGCAGAGCTCCTCTCCCTGTTCCTTGCTATCTCAACACTCTTAAGCCACAACTCCGAGAGTGCATTGTGAGGGATAACCCACAAGCCTAGTAATATCACCACACCGCCACTATCCTCATCCTCATCAAGATCAGGCTATTCTCTTCCCCATACTAATGTCAGCAACTAGAGTCATTCCAAAATCTTGGGTTACCAGTTTAAAACAATTGCCAACAGCTGCTCATTTGCTTCCTGAAAATCCAAAAAAACCGTGATTTTGCAAGCATATCATTTCATTCCAAGATTTTTTAGGATAGGACTTATAGTTTTTAGGCTTGACACTTTGGTCTGCACCAAAGCACCTGCAAAATGCAAAGAAATACGATGGGGACGATGATAGTAATGTCCTTCCTTAGGCACTAAGAGGTGGAATCATGGGGTCCAAAGAACGGCCACAGCAATGGGTAAAAGTAAGAAAGGGATGGGCAAGTTTCTGTTCCTTGATGGAGCCATTCTTGCCGAAGGCCACATTGGGTGGGTTGGGGAGACTCCTTCAGAATTGCAGAAGTTGCACGGAGAAGTAACAAGGTAGGCCTATCTATAGGTTGAGTTCCTGTGCATCTTCTAAGGGTTAACTTGGAAACTTTAGGTGACCCCCATGTTTTGGGTTAACCTCCCCCTCCAAAAACCAATATTGAGCCACCAAATCAGCATCAATGTAAACATCTCCTTGCTGCTGTTATACAAACCAGCTAACAAGGGGCTTGTCACCCAAGATGGCTTTTCATCCGTTGTCCAGTTGTGCTTGGACATTTGTGGCTTCTGAGATTACCTGGATTGTTTGCGACAGAACCTTCCACAGGTAAGTATAACAGACTTCTCTCTAAAAGGTTGGCGAAGTGGGCATCTATGTAAGATCTTGTCTGTCTTGCCAAGCCCATACCACAAACAGGATAAGGATTTCTCTGTTTTAAGGGCGACTCCGCAGTTCTCCTTCCCTTTCCTTCTTCTCCTCAAGTCTTCCCGTTACCTATTTTCTTTAGCAAAAACCAACAAAGTATTGTGGTATTTTAAAGAGTGACAGATTCATTGTGGTAATAAGTCACAATAAACCTGTCGGTCTTTCAGGTACCACAATACTCTTTTGTCCGCCTTGCAACTGATTACAACAGCCACCCTTCTAGAATTTATTTCGTTTATGAATGCCTTCGGGATTCCGATGAACGTGGAGGCGAGGGTGTGTGTGTCTCAGTCAGCGCTAGCAGTAACCTTCACGGGCCAAAGAAAGTGGCCAGTGGGGTATAAATATAAAAAGCAGGATATAAATGGGAAGGAAGGAAGGAAGGAATGAAGGAAGGAAGGAATGAAGGAATTAATTAATTAATTAATTAATTAATTGGACAGATAAGCACAATCATATTCCTTGTATTGCTACTGCAGGTCAGCATTCCTTCTGCGCTTCTGGACACTCAGTATCCTCGTGTAAGAAACGGAATCAAACCCATGAATTAGACCGTAGTGTCTTCATAGGGCAGGAGAACATTTTTCGGGATCTCAGAGCAAAAATTATTAATACTTCAGATATGCACAGCAGATAGAGGGACCCCTTTCCTCCTTCTCTTTGCGTGGCATCTGTGCCACCTGGTCGGTGTCGTGGGTCCACTGGAGGCTGATTCCCAGCTAAGGCGGCTAGTTACCGACATCGCATAAGACGCCACCGGCTCGCCGTCCCGCTGCCTGGATTCTCACACGGGAAGCCGCCAGGAGACTGTCCCGGATTCCCTCAGTATCTGTGGCGCCAGAGTGCAGCGGGGCGGGGCCGAGTCTGGGCGAGCGAGGAGGAGCGCGTTGAGTGATTCATGCTCGGCGGAGGACAGGAGGAGGGCGGCCGCAGCTCCTGTCGCCTTCGCGAGGGGAATTAGGTGGCTACCCCCGCCTCGGCAAAGCGCTCCGGAACGTAACATTCCCTTCTCATCCTCCTCCCCAAATTCAAGGATGCCTCAGCCCCGGCTACAGTTAGCTCAAATTGCCTTGTGGTGGCGGCAACGGAGAACCGCGGGAGACCTCCCCAGACGCAACCCATTCCCTTGTGTGCATGCCCAACGGGGAGGGTGATGTACTTGCGTTGCCAATGCCTTCTGATTAAAAAGTGAGAGCAAGTTGTCGGGATCAAATATTCAGGACACAGCAGGAAGGAAGAACCTGAAGACATTCATCTACTTGATACCCACGGACCTCTTCACCTACTTTACTGGGCTTAACCCGTCATAGTGAGTCTTAACCCGAGTACACCCGTTGGATCAGTGAAATGTACATAAATGTGGGTAATTCAGGGCCCTTCACTTTGGTTGGGACTGGCAAGTGGATTTGGGTTGTGGTTAGTTGTATGACCTGGTTGGACCAAACAAACAAACAAACAAAAAAACCCGAATAACAAAACAAAAGAAAATGTCATTGAACACATTTCGGTGAAAACAATAATTTATTTAAATAATCTCTTCATCTTGTAAAAGTAAAATTGAATGATTTTTTTAAATGTTTGTTTCTGTAATAAATAACCAAGAAAATACCTTTTTTTAATGTTTTAAGGGTTTGAATGAGGAAAGTGGGGAAATTCAGTAGCTTATGCTTTTTGACAACAAAAAGGAGAGAGGTATGGAACAGAATAATAAAGTTTGATTGGAAGCTGCCCAGAGAAAGAGAAAAAAAATGATGGCATTAACAAACCTTAGTTCACAAAACATAAACAAATACAAAGCTGTCCAATGGGACTTTCCTCCCTTCTTTTCTATACACAGAAAGGGGAGGGAGATGAACACAAACAGCTTTATTACAAACATATTTTTCATTGTAAAGAAGAATGTCCTGCAAACAGTTAAAAAAAGATAATTTAAACACAGCTGGGTTCCTTTTCATTTTAAATATCTACATATAAAAATTATTCATCTTTTCCCCTCCCCCCAACATCAAAATGAGGTCATTTGCAAAGGCACCTATAAAAACGTTTACAAAAATAAACAAAATTAAATAAGTAATTCTGCACTGGTGATTTGATGAGAAATGGGAGAAGAGCGGGTTTCTTTTTTAAAAAATGGGTAGCATTTTCTGAAGGCAAGGGGAAACCAACTCTTCAGTCTTTTTGCGTCTCTTCAGGAGTAGTTTGTTCCCTTGAGTTAATCGAGGCTCATTCTCATGTAAGTGGGGGTAGGATTGCAACCTAACCTGGATAGCAAAGGGATAGCAACCCCCCCCCCTCCGTGGAGGAGATGGGTATAACTGCCACTCTGCTGCAAGGTTTTGAGTAAGTTTTTGACCACAGGTTTATCCCATTTCTGTGGTTTTATCATCGGGAACGTTGCCAGAGACCGGACTGGATTGGGATGTACTGACTAGAAACTGTGTATGTTGTTGTGGGGACGGGGGAGTGTAACCGGACCCTGATTAGGCCGAAAACTTCAGGGGAGGCTCATTTCTCCTCTAGTTACACAAAGGCTCAGAAGATCAGGAGCTGCTGGAGTTGGGGCTGCGTGGCTGGCTGGCTGGGGGGGGAAGGGTTTGATCTTTCGACAAAGCACCAGAAGTGTATTCGTTTATACCCCGGTCCGCAGGGGACCCAAATACCGGATGAATTTAGGGGCAGGGGTGGGGATCGGTCGCCCGGGGCTCACCCTCTCCACCTTAGCTCTCCGCTGGGGAGCGTCGTGCGGGCGTGCGGGCGGGCAGGCAGGCGTTATGGAGTTAATAAATCGTCCCTGCGCTGACAGCTGCGCCATGGTGGTGGTGATGGTGGTGCAGGTGCTGAGGGTGGTGCTGGTGAGACTGCCCTTGCTGCATGATCGGGGAAGCCCCTTGCAGGTGAGAGGCGGCGGCGCTGGACGCCTGATGGTACCAGGAGTAGTTACCCAGGAAAGCCGCCGTCGTTCCGCTGGGAGCGCCGGGACTTGAACCCGCGCTGCCGCTGCCGCCGCCGGGGGTTCCGGCGTTGCCCATGCGCTGCGGGTGGGAGGCAAAGTCCCAGGCGAGAGTGGCCGAGGCCGGAGGCGAGGCGCAAGGCTGAGGCGAGCTGGCGCCCGGGTGCTGCTCCGCAGGAATCTCGCCGCTTTTCCACATCTTCTTGAACTTGGACCGTCGGTTCTGGAACCAGATCTTGACCTTGGCGGGGGAGGGAGAAGAGGCGGAGAATTAGCCGGGAAACCGCGCAAAACACCCCTCGCGAGAGGCCCATTTTTTGGGGGGGGTGTCATCAAACTACACGTGCTTGAGAACAAGTCGCCTTCTTCCTAGCCTTTTGTCCGGACACCCAGCCTTTCCAAGGCCCCCGCTGCTTTGCTACCTAGCGGGCGGAGGCCTCTGCCGTTCCCTCTTCGAGCCCGGCCGGGGGCGCCCTTCTGACCTCCAGCCCTCCCGGCTAAGAGAGGACGCGGAGGAGGGGAAGGGGAGGGCGGGAAGGCAGCCCCCGCCTCGGCTCCTTTGCCCTTGCCTGCCTCGTTCCTCTCGCAAACTTCTCGGGCAAGGCAACCCGCCAACCGGCCGGCCTGGCTTTGAGTGGAGGGGCTTCCTGGAGCTGTGAGGGAGAGGGTGGCGCCCTGTGCTTTTGTTTTCCCTCCATCACGGGTGGAGGTTTTCGCGCGCGCGCGTGTCTGAGGCGGAGGGGGGGGACTTTTTGTGGCCCGCGCTTGGGGAATTCTCCCTGGGCATAAACGAGGGCGGCCGGACGGAGGGAGAGTTTTTCTTCCCATTCCGGCGCGGGTCTTTTTCGAGCAGAGGGGCAGAGGAGACCCCCGGGAGAGGCAGGGTCCGGAAAGAGTTCCCAAGGCGGGGCTTTCAGTCGGGTGCGCCGACCGTTTCTGCCAACGCAAGCCCTCCATCGACTTACTCGGAAGTAAAGCCGATGGAAAGCACTTACTTCCAAGGAAGGGACTTTAGGGAGAGGGTTACCACCGCACAAAAGGGCATCCTTTTGCTTCAGAGCCTTCCATTTCTAACTACTGTATTTCCGATCGATTTCCCGTGGGTAATAAATGTGTCCCAGATACACTAAAAAGCATACGAAAGCGGGGAAGGGAGCCAGCAGTGTCAGGTGAGGATAAATAAAATAAAATAAATAATCTATCTATCTATCTATCTATCTATCTATCTATCTATCTATCTATCTATCTATCTATCTAACATCGGAATGGTAACCGGAAATGAACATTGTCTGATATAGTCTTCTGAATAAACAAGTCTGATACCGTCTTCCCTCACATTTGCTGAAATGCGGAAGAGGTTCCGTTTTCTTAGTGAGGATAAATCAATTTAGAGACGTTTTCTGAGATCCTGTGGATCTGTGCAGAACGAAACAACACAGGGCCGAAAAGAATCTAGGGAACCGTCGGAGAGCGCCTAATTGTGTGCAAATCAGTGCCCACACACGTTTTATTACGGAAGGCATAATCTGGCCTCCGTTCCTTCGGGTCCCGCTCTTTCCAAAGGAAGAGTTAAACCAAGTGGTCAGGACTTTTACGGTGAAGTAGATGAGACTTGAACGTGATTACCAAATGCTAGATGGATCGCGCCCACGCATCTTAGAAAACACCCCCTTCTCTTTTGCTCTATCGGCCTGACTGACAAGCGTTTGCTTCCGGAAAAAGTCTTTCTGGGTCTCCTCATCTACAAGGGAAAGCTACGACGTAGACACGTGCAGGGAGGCAGCTAAGGACACTCGTGTAAACCGGTTCCCGCTTTCCCTGGCAAAAGGACGGATAGGCTCAAAAGCAACCCAACGGGCACCGGTCTGCCTGGACTCCCCTCCGCTGAAGGCAGGCATCTATTCTGGCAGATGGCAAAAGGGAAAGGGAACGGGTCTCCGTCGCCAGCTAGCCCGGGGGCAGCAGGCTGGGCGGCGGGCTAGGAAAGGGATCCCGTCCTCCAGCCCCAACCGGCTTGAGTAGCGCCGCTTCCTCGGGCCCCTGCTCGGATCCTTCCCCCCCCCCCGGCTCTTTCTTTTCCTGACCTGAGTTTGGGTGAGGCCTAGCGACGCGGCCAGCTCCGCTCTCTCCGGCAGCGCCAGATACTGGGTCTTTTGGAAGCGCCGCTGCAAGGCCGCCAGCTGGAAGCTGGAGTAGATCGTCCTGGGCTTCCGCACTTTCTTTGGCTTCCCGTTGACGATCCGGATCTCGGGCTCGCCTTCTTCTTTCTCTGCCGTAGGGAAACAGAAACCGAGATGCAGAAACGGAACGGACCGGCACGACCCGCTTCGCCCACTCTCCCCATGGTTGGAACAGAACTGAACTCGAATCCAGCTAAATGCAGCACAAGAGAGAAGTGGGGAGAAATTCCAGCACCAGAGAATGTCACTCAGCCCCAAGTCCATCCCTTCTCTACGTGCTTGAGGAAACCACCCTGGCCTAAGAAAGGCGTCGGGAAAGCAGCCAAAAGAGCAAGGGCTGGTTCGCCCTCCCCACCTCTCTCCTCTGCCCTCCTAGGGACAGGCGGACTTACCGGGATCGTTGGTGATCGGGGACGTCCTTGTCCCGTAAGTTGCATAGGGACTGTAAGAGGCGGAGTAGCCCAGGTCGTAGCTGCCGGCCTTGGCGGAGTAGGGCACGGTGCTGAGCCCGGCGCTGGGGTGATACTGGTAAGAACCCATCTGCGAGTAAGGGGACCCGTTGGTTCCGTTGCTGCCGGCGCTTCCTCCGCCTCCGTGTTGCTGCTGGTTGGTGTAGTAGCTGCTGTCGGTGGCCGTGGACACGGGCAACGTGGGAGACTCCTGGGGCTTGTGCAAGCTGTGCTGCGGTGGCTGCTGCTGCTGCTGGTGGTGCTGGTGGTGGTAACTGCTGGAGGTAATCTGGTTGGAATGCATATCTGAGACCAGGCTGTCAAAGACTCCAGTCATCCTGGTCTCTTCTCCCCGCCCCCTTCTCCCACCCTCCCTGGCTCCGAGGATTCAGGAGGGCAGTGGGGAGGGGAAGAACAAAAGTAGCCGGGGGGGTGGGTGGGTGCGTGGGGGGGGAGTGAGAGTTTTAAACATGGCACTATTTATTCACACACCCTGAGGCAACTGCTTGCAGATTTCATGTCATTTTACTGTGCATTTATACTTGTGTGTGTGTGTGTGTGTGTGTGTGTGTGTGTTCCTTTAAAAAGGGGTGACAAGTTTTATCTCAGTGGAAGGTTCAACCCTGCAAAGAGCAAAATAAAAAAAATAAAAATAAAAAAGGATTCATTGCTTTCCAGTGATAGGTAATCAGAAGTGCAGAGGTTCAGGCTCCATCTCCAAGTGGAATTGGGCAGTGCCTCCATCACTGCCACACTAGACTGTTTTCTGGTCACCAAAGCCCTACTCAGTCTCTAAGGAGACACATGGAGCCCCACTCTCCAAGTAAAAGATCACTGGGGATACCTTTGTGTCGCTGCCCCGGCGACTGCAGAAGCTGCAGGGGAAAAAGGACGGGAAGTCGCCATCGTGGTCTGGGCAGACTCAAAATTTCTCCTCTCTCTCCCTGCCCTCCCCCCTTCCTGGATTTCTGGAGAAGAAGAAAGTGGGGGGAAAAAACACCCCAAAACTCTTCCAACTACCCTTGGGCAGCCTGGAGCAGAAGACCCGCTCTCCGCCTCGCCTCCCCAGCAGTGGGTTTACGATTGTCTGCCGCTCTTGGATGCTGCCAGGCGGGCATTTAACACCAGTCACGTGGTGGCGGGCCACGTCACCTAGCAACAGCCAATCCCCTGACTCGGCCGCCTTGGGATTCTTTTCGCTTTCTTCCCTTCACTCCTCCCGCCCCGCCCGCCCCGCTGCCTGCCTTCTAATCTTTGCTTCCCCGGGCAGTGGAGGCGCCTCGCAGATGACACGTGCTGGGAAAGAGGGGGCGGGGGGAAGGGCGCCGCGGGTGTGTGTGTGTGTGTGTGTGTGTGTGT